AACGGGGTCTTCCCTCACTCAGCTCTGACCCAGCAGCTTCAGTGAAGGAGCCGACCAAGGCTGAGTGTGGACACAGTGTCACTATAGACCATTGAAATGAATAAGAAAGAACAGACTAGTAAGAAGTAACAACAGAAAGGATGACAGAAAAATGTGAAAGCATTTATTATCAATTTCTTCATCAGTACATTTGCAAGTGTAGCAGCAAATGACCCAGAGGTTTGTCACTTATACACTGTCTCAGGTTTTCCCCAGTCACCATGTGTCCCTTTAAGGATTAAGACCCAGTGTGGGATGGAGGGAATGATAGGATGGGTGTGGGGACACTCCCAGGACCCCAGGAGCCCCTCCTACATAGGAAGGAGACAGAACAGCACCCCCACTGTGGGTCCTGAGGGACACAGCCTGACTCAGGGAGCACTTTCCTCATGAGGTGCTTTCACCTCTGAATGACACCCTGCTGCAGGCTGACCTCGGCCTCTTCACATCTGCTGCCCCCAAATTCCAGGTCCATCGCCACCCAGAGAGGTGAACATATTCTAGCCTCAGCCTAAATCCTCCCTGTGGGTCGAGGGAAATTTTTCTTGATGAGACACGGCTTCTTCTTGCTCATATGTTGAGTCATTTCTGAAAATATCAGCTATAATAACATATGAGATAATTTGGGTAATTCTCCAATAATTCTTTTGAGTTAAGCTTCTTTGATTTGCTAGAATGAAAACATTAACTTAGGCAACATCATCTCTCTCTCTCTCTGGCAGGGACAGCACTGTGTAATCCAGGACCAGAAGCAGGGCTAGAAGGTGGCAGAATTAATGGGACGACCCACCAGCTGTGCCCCGATGGCACCAGGAAAAGGCAGTGCCAGTGCTTCCCCCCATGTATCCTCTCAGGGTCCCCGGGAGCAAACTCCTTCTGCAGTGAGTGAAGACGTGACAGAAGGATCCAGGCCATGGTGGGGAAGCCCCAGAGCTCTGCTAGCTGAGGCCTAATCATTGACATCCAGTCTATCCCTGCTTAGGCGTCTCCTACCCTATGCCCAGGGACAACCGTACGGCATGGTTTTTTTTTTTTTTTTTTCAAGGACATTTAGTTTCATTGTGTGATTGTCCACCTACCTTGATCTATGAATCAGTCCTGGGCAATGACTACATGAGGGGAGGAGGTCAAGATACGAAGCATGTGTGTGAGTCAGAGCTGAGTGCTCATGTGGCTCCTGGGGACCAGGTGCAGGACAGGCACACTTCAATGAGGACCCTGCCTGCCTAAGTGAGCAAACTCTGTACAGTCCTTTCCCAGGTTGCCTAGGCCAGAGCACTTGGTTTGAGGCCCAGGCTACCACCACCCCCTAGTGGTCTGAGGAGTAACATCCTCCAGGTCATTTCACATCCCCAGCTGTCCTGGGAGGGCTCTGCTGTTTGCTGTTGGGACTTTCTGATGTCACTACACAGGGTAGTAGGATGAGCAGGTCTCCTCTGTGAATCTGAGTTGAGTCATTAATTTTTTCAGCTCACGAATGCCCTCCTTGGAGCTACATGAAATGCTGTGTTCCCAGATGGTGAAGGATTACAAGATAGTTGAGTTTCTTTCTGTCAGGCCCCTGGGTCTGTTGCTGGTACATGACCACTCTGAGTCACTTTTGAGGTTTAAAGTTCCTCAGGGAGCCCCGTTAGTTCATAGCTGGTCACAGTTCTATTTGGGTGATTCTTTCTGGTTGAAACATTCAGTGTTGTTTTTGTTGTTGTTTTCATTGTCACTGTGAGGGTTTCCTGTTGGGTCCCCAGCCCCAGGGACAGGCCTTGGCTTTCTCTTCCAGCCTTTGCCATGAGAACGCAGCCCTGGGAGGAGCTCACACTTTCAGCTCGTGGTTCCTCCTGCTGGTTCTCACTTACCCTTGACTCTGATGCTGACAATACTTTCTTCTGGCTCTAAGGAACTTAATATATATTTTGTCTAGTTTTGTAATTATTTTTCAGTATAAGGATTGATATCAAAAGAACAGTATTATGAATGGTAGTCCACTCCTTCTTAGAGGTCCTTTAGCATTATGGGATTTAGAAACACTCGTTTCATATTCTGTAGTCTCCATTGGTCCTGATCTACTTACTGCTGACATTATTTTGTATTGATTTCATCGCAGCAGAGTGGTTGGAAGAGCAGATCCTTTACAAAGTGATTCCTGTGATGTTCCCAGTCCTGACAGGGCCCCGTCCCCACTGGGGCAGCATCACTGACCACACTCCCCACTCTGCGCTTCACATCTCCATGACGTTCTGTTCTTAGGGTGCCTCAGGGGTGTGGTCCCCACACGTGTCTTCTTCCTTTTTGAACCCCCAGCTATTGTGCTCCTTCTTGCAGACACATTGCTTTTGGTACAACAGGGAGACCAGTGAGTGAGTGAGTGAGGAGCTGGATGCACCACACTAGTTTCTTCAACCAAATGAGGGCATTTCAGGACAGTGCCTCAGGGTCTGGGGGCAGTGTGGCCTTCTAAAGCCGTGTGACCAGTAGAGAGCCCACCCCCTGGGAACCCTACCCTGGGAGGAGGCAGTGGCGGTGACAGGGGATGTTAATGAGCAGGTGTGGAGGCAGATAGGAGGGACTGGACGCCTTTCCTTGCACAGCCGCAGAATCCTGTGTTTGTGCTGCTCTCCCACTTTTCCATTGGCCCTTATTTCCCTGTCCCAGAGCAGGGGCTGCCACGAAGGTCCTGACCCACAATGACTCCTCCAGCATCTTGCCTGAGCCAAGCATCAGTCCTGAGTCCACTGTGCGCCCTGTCCAGCGGCTGCTCATGCTGCCCCCTTCCCCCTGTAGTGTCAGAAGTAGCTCTGTGTTTTAAGTGGGGACAAGGGGCCCCTTTAGTGGATAAGTGCACCCCACGGACCTCCGTGGGCCCCAGCACATACGGCCCCGAGCCTCAGCACCATAACTCAGTAGCTGGTAGCCAGCTGTTTTACCCGTGAAACAGTGACAGTTCAGGTGAATCCCAGTGAGTGGGAATGAAGAGCAGCGATGGTCCTGGGAGTCCCTGTGCTGTCCCACAAGGAGCGTGTTCCTGTGATACCTGTGAAGGGGGCTGTCCACCCTTTGGTGTCTCGGGGCCACACTGGAAGAAGAAGAGTAGTCTCAGGCCACACATAAATACACAAACACTAACAACAACCGATCAGCAAAAAGAGTCCGTACATACTTTTCTTGATATCTGGCAGAGCCGATAAGAAAAACTGTTCTCACATTGTAATCCTATTATGCAGTGGTCTTTCACTAACTTTCTAAAATAATCTGGCAATGGTAATTGAAGCCACACATGCATACAGATACCAAGAGTGAATTTTACACGTTTATTTTACATGATATTGGGACACATAATCACCAAGAAATCTACTAAAGTTTTAGGTAAATTTATGATTTTGTTTTGGGCCCCATTCACAGCCATCCTGGGGCACATTTGGCCCGTGGGCCTCACTGTGGAAACCCCTGGTCTGTCAACTTGATCATGTCTGCGTGTAGCTCCTTGTCACCTGTTCACAGCAGGCTGGGATTCTGAGTGTAAAATTCACTTTTTACACTTCAACATGATGGAGATGGAACCGAAAAGGATTATTCTGAGCCATTCGGAGCCCAACTGCATGGGACACCCTGTCACCTGCGCTCCCCACCCACTCACCACTGATGAGTCCAGCCCTGCAGCCACCACTGTCCTCACGGGGCTGCTGCCCTTGCAGCTCTCCCAGAAGAAAGTTAGTATAAATAAATCTTTGCATAACTTCCATTCACATTTTCTCTGGCATTACATTCTTGCAACAGTAGGTCGTATTTAAAACCTAAGAAGCTAACTTTGGTAAAATAATATTAACTGAACTGCAGGTTGGATATAAATTTCATGAAATACCCAATATACTCTTTTTCTGTCTATGGGACCAGTCCAGGAATCCAGTAATGTGACAAACATTACAGAAAACAAGCACAACCAATATACATATTCCGAACATACTAGATATGATGCTTTATTCTTTTATTTTGTGTAGCCTTGATATAAAGTTTTTGTAAGATTTTTTAACAAAAATGAGAATTGTTAATAAAAGGACAATGTCACTCTCTGCTTCTCTGCTCACGGCCCAGAGCCAGGGCGCCCTGGGGAACCTGGTGTGGAGACACCACCTGCAGAACCTCCCCTGTCCCTGCACCAGGGGAGGCGGCCCAGGGCTGGGAGTAGTGTTTCTGGAAGCCACTTCTAAACAGGTGTCTTCTCAGAGCAAAGTATTCACATAAACCATGGAAATCTTCTCAACTTCTGGTTGTAGTTTTCAATTTGAAAAGAAGGAATAAAAGAAATCAAGTCACAGTTTTCATTGATGGTCTGAGATTTTAAATCTGTTTCTAAAGGTTCCTGGATTTATGAAGATTGATTTAGGAGACATTGTGACCTGGATTTTAACTATATTAAATATCAAAGAGAAGTTTCCAGGAATGCTTTTATAATTATAGAGGTAGAGGCAGTTTTCAAACTTTAGTGTTGATAAAAATGTGTAAGTGACTTGTTAAAATACAGATTTTGCTCACAAACACACAGCTCTGCCACAGGAGGTCTAGACAGTGGACCAGTACAACCTGCAAGCTTCCAGGGACACTCTCACTGAAATGCTAAATAAAATATTCACAACGTCCACAGGGTGAAATCAATACATGAGAGTACATCTTGTTAAAGCTTCTGGAACACAGGCAGGACTACAAGGGGCAGGGAGGGCTCTGAGTCTCTCTGATGGTCAATGTGTCTGCACTCAGCCCTCACCCCGTCAAGGTTCTAGGGACAGGGGAGGAGAGGAAGTTGATTCTCCCAGGGTCACATGGAACACATGGGCACATCCTGGGGGAGACTGGAGGAGGCATGTGGAGAGGAGCCACTGGACACGGGAATGGGCCCTGGAGCCCCCTGTACTTGATGTGTTGACAGTTTCCACCTTCTCTCCTTCCTTCTGTCACTAAAGCTGAGCCACTCAGAGCACAAGAAGAGGTTTTGGTAGCACTTCCCCATGGGTTCACATCACTGTGTACGTGTAACTAACCAAGTACAGAGCACAGTGATAGTCGGCCTCGTCCTCAGGCTGGGCCCCCGTGATGGTGAGGACGGCTTTGTTCCCAGAGATAGATCCAGTGAAGCGCTCAGGGACCCCAGAGGGCCGGTTGTTTGTGTGGTAGATGATGATGTGGGGAGACTTGCCTGGAGTCTGCTGATACCAGGTGGGGTAGTAACCAGTAGAGACTGACCCAGAGCTAAGGCCACAGGTGAGTGTGACTGTCCCTCCTGGAGATACAGACAGTGATGGCTCCTGGGTGACCACAGTCTGAGAATCCACACCTAAAACCAACAGGAGAGACACGGGTGATGTTATGGGTGACTAAGTCGTCCAGAGACCCTGCTTCGTTGTGTCCCCCAAGAATGCAGAGTCCCTTGCTCTGACCTGAGCGGTAAGCAAGGAGCCCGAGCAGGAGCACCATCCATTCCATGGTGGGAATGCTCACAAGACACTGCCTCCTCAGGCTCCTGGGATGGAAGTAGGTGGCCTTGGGGCCTTTTCTTACCTCCCAGACCCATAAGGAGGAGGAGATACTTCATGCAAATCAGCTTCTACTCTTGGTACTAGAGTGTCATCCTGATGTCCCCTGGGGTGATGTGGAAAGAGCAGATGCTGGGACCTAAAACACACCAGTGAAGATACAGTGACTCAGACATTGATTGAGCAGAGTGACCTCTGTAACTACCAAATCAGGGAGTGAGAAGGGTGAGGAGTGGAAGGATCTGGGTCATGATGGGGAAGCCCCAGCACTCTGGCTGCTCAGGCCTGGTTGCAGGAACTGAGACTCTCTGATGTCCAAGGGTCTGTAGTCCAGTGTCCTGCACCTCTCATCAGCCGGGTTTCTTCACGCAGATTTCTTTGTGCTGTGAGTCAGTCCACCTTACCCTGTCTGTCTGCACATCAGGCAGGAACAACTTTTTGAAGGGGAGATGGATGTGAAGCAAGAGTGTGAGTCAGACCTCAGGACTCATGTAGCTCCTCGGGACCCTGGTGATGACAAGTGACACACTGTGTGGATGCTGCATTCCCAAGTGGGCAAGATTCAGAAAAGAATTTTCCTTGACCTCTGGCACTGGGAGAGTGGGATAAGCTCTGCTTTGACTTCCTGATTTGGTCTCCTGACATCAAACCAACTCCATATGCCTCTTTTCCCTCACATGCAGGCAGGTCATGTCGACATGGAGCAGTTTTTTCCCAGGGCTTTAACATACTTTATTATTTTCTTACAGTTTCTGCTTCTTTGCTGAGATTTCCCACCTGTTCTTTCATTGCAAGTGTATGTCACTCAAATTCTCGCTGAGAATGTATAAATGTGTATGGGGATGGTTGATATTTAGTGTCTGACCATAAAGTAGATGTGTGTTCATTTATTTAGATCTTCTTCATGTATAACAGGTATTAGTTGTACCTCTCATTTTTAGAGAACTTTCAGTTTTTTAGTTTTATTTTTAAGTGTTTCTTATTTCTGATGCCATTATGATATTTTAAAATGTTCTTGTTAATTTACAAGTTTTCTTGTTAATTATTGATGGTTTATTCCTGTGTACATTGGTATTCAGTTCTGCATGTTGTTTTTGTGTCTCAAAGCCCTGATTAAAGCTTTTAGGGAGGAAACATCACTGAGTCTCCCCGGGTCTCAGAGCCAGTCACTGCTGGTACCAGCCAGTGTTCGCACCTCCAGCATCTCCACTGGGAGACGTTTCTCCTGGAAAGGACTCTCTGCTTCTGAGACAGGAACAGCTGAGACATGGTGGTGATGGTGAGTCTAAATGAGAGATGAGGGGAAGGTCAGATTGCTGTTTAGAGGAAACTCAAGTCTTATTTGCAGAAGTGACAACAGATGACACCTGTGAGGGAAACTTGATCCCAGGCGAAGCAGGGGTGAGGTTCCCTGGCAGGGGGAGCACAGGTACCTTTAGTCTCACCAACCTGTGACTCTCAGCACGGTGTGAGCATCAGGGCTGCTGTAATGGACTCAACACCAAGGCCAGCCTCATCCTCAGGCTGCAGCCGAGAGATGAGCAGGTGCCCTGCACTGGTCGAGGTGTCTTTTGATCCAGAGAAGCTCCTGCAGGCCCTGGAGCTCTGGTGCTTGTCTGAGTCTGGGTGTTATGACAGGAGATGCTTGGAAGGGTTCCGTGGCTTCTGCTGGTACCAGTTCGTGTGGTAGCCGCCAACATTAAATCCACTTCTGAGGGTGCATGGGAATCTCACTGATGTTCCTGGGGATGCAGACAGGGAGGGGCAGAGTCAGCATAGGCTGGCAGAGGGGACCTAAAAACAGGCACATTCATGGTTGGTGGAGCAGGTACTCAGGTTAAAGTTCCTCAAGGCTCTGTTCAAGTGAAGGAACATGCAAGGTAAATGGCTGTCCTGGACCCAGAATCCTGTCCTTACAAGTGCAGTGAGAGAGGAGCTCGAGGAAGAGAGGAGTCCAGGCCATGGTGCACAGAGTCCCTGAGCCCACAGTGGGGCTGGGCTGCCCAGGCCTCCTTTTCTTCCCATCCCATGCCAGGGGAGGGGCTTCCCATGCAAACGTGTGTCCATCCAAGAGCTTCCCAGCCCCTCCCTGAGCCCTGGTGCTGGAGCTCAGCCTAGGCTACAACTGAGGAGGATGGGGGTTGGCTTTGTCCCTAGGGAGAGCTCTGGGGGGAAGCACCTGCTGAGGCCACACAAAGATCCCAGCTCAGGGGACTCTGCAAGGCCTGAGAGGACACAGTGACTGTATCTCCATCAGTGAGTCTCCATCAGTGAGCACAGTGCCCAGTTCCTAGGCCCCCATTCCTTTGAGAGAATGATCCTCACTGAGCAAGTGTTTAGAAGCTCCAAGGAGGTACCATCGCCACCTGCTGGTCCTGGCCCAAAGCCCTGAGGCCCAACTAGGTTCTGCTGCTCACCAGGTGGCTGCCTGTAGCCACACATCTGGGGTCTCATGTGTAGATACTGTTGATCAATCATGTGGTGGGTAATTACCCTACTTCTTTTCACTGCCAGAAAGAGTTTTGGTCTGTGGGAATCAAGAACATATAAAAATAACTATTTCAGATGTCAGCATCCCAGAATACACAGGAGAAACAGTTAACCCCTGTGTTCCATGAAGTCCAGGGTCACACAAGAGGAGCAGAGTCAAATGAGTGTGAAAAGAATTTTCCAGAAAGTGAGGCTGGTGGCATATTTAAATCAGGGAAAAGCCTTAGAACTTTGATAGGGAACAGAGAATATCCAGGGATTTGTGAAGAACTAACACATTGGTGTGCTCAGCATTTACCAGTGTATATACTTCTTTGCATCAAGAATCGATTTTTCTTTTTCTGTATTTGCAGTATTGTGCATATGCTGCCACATTTATTTTGCACATTTTGTCCTAGTCATGCATATACTATGCATATATACTCTTTTTTATGTACATGTATTTTAATGTTCTGAAACTCCTGTGCATTAAATCCACTGCTGTCACAGCACTGACTTGTGTTCCATGTTCCCAAGGGCTGGCCGATGGAACTGATGAGCTGATGAAAGTGAGGGATGGACAATGGGTCCTCGTCATGCAGGTCTGAGGATCACGGAAGCACACGCTGGGAGGAATGAAATCCAGACCGTGACAGAAATTCTCACCTCCTCATTTCTGGCTGTTTTGCCCTCACCTCGCTTTGCAGAAGCCTCTCCACTGTGGATGCAGAGCACACAAACCCATCTTCACTTCTTTCAAGAATGTTTCCATCATGCTTTTGTGGGATTGGGGATGTGGAGCTGTATACTAGAGTTTCATGGGTCATATGGTTCTCTGTATGTAACATGTGTGGACAAATGATTATGTTATGGAACCTTAGTGAAGGGAGACACCAGTGCACATTCACCCAGCTGTCCCGCACTCAGCACTGTGTTGGCTCTCGGAGGGCATCTGTCGTCCTCAGCCTCCCCTGCCATCTCCCTGTCCCTGTGGTTCTTCATTCAGGTCCTGGCGACTCATCACAACCTCTCCATTGTCTCTGCCTGAGACCCTGGACCCAGGTCCTGGCACTGTCCCCTTCCTCAGCCCTGGGGCCAGTACCTCACGTACATGGTTAATTAAGGAGATGAGGACTCACATTCATGGCACTTTCCTGCTTTTCAGTCTCTGGGGTCAAATGTTTCACACTTCCTCTAGAACTAACTCAGAACCTGAATACCAATATGCCCAGAAAGCAGAAGTCCTTCTATGGGCCTCAGATATGTTCCTTTTCCCAGATCACACATTTAGGTGCCCAGATATATTCACTCAACAAACATGTTTGAGTTTGTCCTTCATGTCAGCCTGTGTTCTGGATCTGTAGTACATTGGTAACAAAACACAAAAACATTTAAAATCTCAGTTCTCATGGAGCTTCTACACCAGTGGGAAAACCCACAGGGAACAGAGTCACTGTCATCACAAATGTCCCCAAGTGGCTGGAATCCCCACCAGGCCCGGGATCCCCCTCAGATCTGGAGGCAACCCCTGATGGCTGAGAGACAAGAGCCTCACAAAGGAAGGACAGTGCTGAACTGAAGGGCCTCCCACAGGGTGTCCTGGTCCTCTGGCCCAGATGCAGGGCTCCAGGGATTCTGTGCTCATCCCGTCTCACTCACCAGGGTGCTGTGCACCCAGCTTTATTTAATTTTTGGCATTATCGTCACAGTGGTAGTTGAAATGCATGCATATGATGAAGCCTGTCTCTGATTGTAAAACTCCAAATTGTTGCCTCCCCATCATGATTAAATAAAAATCTTTACTGTCTGATTCAAGGTATCTGGGGGCCTGCCATGAACTGATGCGTGTCTCCTGCCTCACTTTCCCATCTGTAGTCCATAAAAAACACAAATGGATCCTGTTTGCAAGTGATTCTTAACCCTGAACATCTGAGTCTCATTCCGTTACACTCTTCACATCTCTCGGCTTACATCCTGAGTGCCCTTTCCCCGGGAGACCATAGGGGGTCTCTTATCCAAATTGAGACTCTGGCAGTGTCTGCTCAGAGCTGTTGGATGACAACCCTCTACCACTGGGCAAGGACGCTCTGTCCTGGAAGAAGCAATCACAGCAGAACAGTGCTCCATCCCCTATGGTCCACCCTTGTACTGTTTAGATCCACCAGTTTCTGTCATCTGTCTCATGAGGTGTTCTTGCAGGACCTTTGGGCAGGTTTCAAGGGCTTAACCATGGCAAGAACTGTAGCATCTGCTGCTAGGTAGGTCTCAAGCAATAAGGATGCTGCTTGTCCTCTCCTTCCCCTTCCCGTGCTGATTCCCTGCCCTTTCTAACCACCAGGTCCAGGTGGCTACCTCGCAGGGTGGGTCAGAACCTCCTCCTTGAAGGGTTTATGCTCAAATCCACTTCCTTCTGAGGACGTGTTTGTTGTTGCTGTAGCTGTTCTCTTCCCGTCACAATCGGGGAGGAGAGACTCTCCAAAGCCAAGCTCAGCACTTCTCATCCCCATTCTGTGAAAGCAGCCCCACCACGTCCTCATAATCAAAGTCAACTGTCCCTGCCAGTTTGGTGACTTTTCATGTATAAGTCCCAGTAGAGCCGACCTTGGAAATGTTAATATTTCTCTTGTGTTCCTGGAATAAATATTCCTCATCTCCCTGCAGTAACGTGAGAACCCACAGAGACCAGCACGGCAGGAAATGGAGTCAGAGACACCCAACGTGGACCCCAGCCCTGACAGAAGGAGTGGTCTCTCCTCTGCGCCCCTTGTGGTGCTGGGGTCCAGACAATGCTGCAGGTCAGGACGGAGCACCATGTCCATAGTCACAGGTTAGGCTTTTATACACCACAGGTGTTGTTCAGCCACCGTAATGGGTAGCCTAATGAGGTGGATCCTGAGTGAGGATAGTAAGGAGTTAGGGAAGCTGCTTGACGAGTGGAATATGGGAATGGAAGAGAAAATATATAACAGGAGAAGCAGTTTGAGCAAGTACAGCCAGCTAGTGAATCTCTAGCTTTTATGTTAACTCACCAAGGAGTAGGAACAAAAGGGTTACCTGTGCTGGACTGTGATAGGGCAAACCAGCATTTGTCCTGGTCCCTTGTCAATATGTTCTTAATAATAAAGCTCACCAAAAATATCCTGACCCCTCTATACACACATTTTGATGAATCATACATTGCAGGACACCTGGAAAGTTAATGAATATTCTGTTAAGACCCCCTGCTGAGATAAAAACCCTCAGGACAAGGATCCCTGGGGCCATCTCATTGGATCCTTATGTCTCTGCTCTTTCTCCCAAACAGTAAGTGCCCCATGAGACTTGTAACCAGGGAAGCAGTGGGCAGTGGCCCCTTGTCCTGGGCTAAGACCCTGTAAATGTCTCCAAGGGCTCTGTTTATAAAAATTTACTGCATTGTGTTTTTCTATTAGAGTTTATCCCTCTCATACCCTCTTCTACCCCCTCCCAACCCCGCAGTCACCCCACTCTTGCTGGTGTCTATGAATTCTCTCTTGTTTTCATTTTTCCTCCATCCCTCCATCCACTCCCCTCTCCCCCATGGAGCTGGCAGTGCGCTGTGTTCTCTTCCTTGCATGTTCCAGTCAGAATCAGCATCACTGAGAGTCTGCATATTTGATGACCTCTGCCTGTTGGTCTTTCTCTTATCACATCTTTGCAGCAGGCTGTGATTCTGAGAGTTAAATTAACTTTTTACACATCCAGTTGAGAGAAATGGCACTCAGAGAGATTATTCTTAGCCATTCAGAGGCCAAATGCGTTGTACACTCTGTCCTCACCCACTCACCACTGACATGACCAGCCCTGGAGCCACCACTGTCCTCACAGGGCTGCTGCCTTGCAGCTCTCTGACCCTGGGACCCCCACAGAGCTGCTGAGAGACATCTCTAGAGCACTCATTCCCATCTCTGTAGCCCTTCCCAGGAAGTCCCTGGGCTCTCTACACCTGGGTGACAGTGACTAGAAGAGCTCTTGAACTGATGGTTTGTCTGTCACACACCCTGTCCAAGTGCAGCCCAAACAAGCTCCCGCTGGGCCTCTACCAGGGTGGGCTCACCCCTTCTCACTGTGCCCTGACAGCCTCTGTCTCAGTCCCCACACAGGGCAGCCCACACTCAAGGCAGGGGTCACACAAGAGCATGAACAGCAGGAGGTGGGGCGCAGGCTGTCTGAGTGGTTGTCTGCCTTCTGACATGCAGAGGTTCACACCTCTCACTCACCACACACACTTTCTAGGGCTTCTGTTCAGCTTTGCACACACAGGAAGAGGTGAAGCTGTGGCTGAACCCAGAGTTTATGTCTCATTTCCTCCTCATCATCTCTCACTGTGGTAATGGCTGCTGTGCCACAGAACACAGGAGTACTCAGCCTCGTCCTCAGGCTGGGCCCCTGTGATGGTGAGGGTGGCTTTGTTCCCAGAGATGGATCCAGAAAAGCGCTCAGGGACCCCAGAGGGCCGGCTGCTTGTGGTGTAGAGGAGTGTTCGAGGGGCCTTGCCTGGGGTCTGCTGGAACCAGCCAGGATAGTTACTACTGGAGACTGACCCAGAGCTAAGGCCACAGGTGAGTGTGACTGTCCCTCCTGGAGACACAGATAGTGATGGCTCCTGGGTGACCACAGTCTGAGAATCCACACCTAAAACCAACAGAAAAGACATGGGTGTTGTTATAAGAGACAAGATCACCCCGAGACACTGCTTTGTGGTGTCCTACAGGAATGCAGAGTCCCTGCCTCTGACCTGAGCTGGAAGTGAGGAGCCCGAGCAGGAGCACCATCCAGGCCATGGTGGGGACACTCACAGGACCAGTCCTCCTCAGGTTCCTGGGTTGGAGGGTTGTGTCCTCGGGCCTTTTCATGTCTCCCAGGCCCATTAGGAGGAGGAGGTGTGTCATGCAAATCAGCTTCCTGTCTCCTATCCTGCTAGTGTCACTGTGGTGTCCCCTGGGAAGATCTGGATATGGGCAGATACTATGACCACAAATATATAATTCACTGCACTGTGACTAAGGTCCTGAATGAGGGGTGTTGACCTCTGTCACCAAATCAGTTCCCCCATGTCCCTGGTGGCCTTAATGAATAATGTCTCTGTGAATTGGCTGTGGCCTTTATGATGGGATGATTGTGTTTCCCTCCTGGCCCCAGCGATCTAGTTCATCTCAAATCTCATCCATCCCTTAGATTAGAACACTTCTTCCTTCTTCAAGGAAAACCATTCTTGTCTTATTGGCAGGAGGTAGCAGGCACTTTCTCCTCCTACAGGGAGTCCACGGGGAAACCACAGAGTTCATGTGTGGGGAGTGTAGGCACGGGGTCTCCCCTGACTCACCCTGACCCAGCAGCCGCAATGGAGGAGCGACCAGGGCTGAGAGTGGACACAGGGCTGCACCACCAGGCGGGGAGGGCGGCTCTCCTCTGGGCTAAGAAGCCACCAATTATGTGGCACAGCTTCATTTTAACTGAAGATCGTAAGTAAAGTCACCATGAAGTCCTGAGATACTTCACAACATCAAACATGCAAAGTAGGAAACTATGTCTATGATCAGAAATAAAAATAACTGTAAATCATGCTTCTGTGTGAACATGATGGAACTTCTAAAAGCTCTGTTTCCCTCTGCATTGGGCTGAGGGGCCGAGGGAGGGAAGGGCGGATGAGGGATCTGGGACGTCAGAGGACGGGCAGGAGGCAGAGCATCTCCAGCCTTCAGGGAAGACCGCACAGTGGGTGCGTCAGAGGGAAGTGATATTCTGCCTTGGGGTTCACTTAGAAATTCCTAGTAAACTGTGTGTGGAAGAGCCCTCAATGCTTACTTTTCCTTTCCCTTCATATGTGTTTGAGACCTGAGCTCATGGGAGACAAAATACTCACACCGAATTATTTCTCCCATTATTCAACTGGATCTGTGATAGTGTGGAGAGAAATTAGAAGGGTACACCCATTGCACTTTGAGATTAGGAAAGACACAAGCAAAGCAGAGAGCTGAATGTGTGATTAATACCAGTCCCATCGGTCATCACTCCATTGAAATGAATGAGAAAGGACAGACTAGTAAGGAATAGCAACTTAAACATGGAGGGGAAAAGCAACTGCATTTATTACCAACTTCATCAATACACTTGCAAGTGTAGCAGCAAATGACCCTGAGGTTGACCAGGGGTACAGGCTGTCTCAGGCTTTCCCCTGACACTAAGGTGCCTCCAAGGATTAGGAGCCAGTGTGGGATGGAGGGAAGGATAGGCTGGGTGTGGGGACTCTCCCAGGACCCCAGGAGCCCCTCCCACAATGAAGGAGATGGAACAGCGCCCCCTGTGGTTCTGAGGGACACAGCCTGACTCAGGGAGGAGCTTTCTCTGGGTGGAACTTTTACTTCTGAGAGACACCCTGCTGCAGGGTGACCTTGGCCTCTTCATGTCTGCTCTCCCCCAGAGTCCAGGTCCATCATCACCCAGACAGGTGAAAATATTCTACCCTCAGCCTAACTCCTCACTGCGGGTCAGGAATTTTCCTTGATAAGACATGGATTCCAGTAATATGTTGAGTCATTTGAGAAAATGCCAGCAGTAATCATAACTGAGATATTTAGGGTAATTTTCCATACTTTGTTTGCATTAAGCTCCTTTCCTTTTCTAGAAAGAAAACATTAATATAGGTGACATTCTCTCTCTCTCTGGCAGGGACAGCACCATCTAATCCAGGACCAGAGGCAGGGCTAGAAGGTGGCAGAATTAATGGCACAACCCACCAGCTGTGCCCCTGATGGCAGCAGGAAAAGGCAGTGCCAGTGCCTCCCCCCACGTATCCTTTCAGGGACCCCGGGAGCAAACTCCTTCTGCAGTGAGTGAGGACATGACAGAAGGATCCAGGCCATGGTGGGGAAGTCCCACAGCTCTGCTGCCTGAATCCTAATTGTTGAAATCGAGACTGTCCCTGCCTAGGTGTCTCCTACGCTATCCCCAGTGACAACCGTAGGGCACATATTTTGTTTTAAGGAAATTTAGTTTCATTGTGTGATTGTCCACCTACCTTGTCTGTGAATCAGGTCTGGACAATGACTACATCAGGGGAGGAAGGCAAGATATGAGGCATGTGTGTGAGTCAGAGCTGAGTGCTCATGTGGCTCCTGGGGACCAGGTGGAAGACAGTCACAGTTCACTGAGGACACTGCCTGCCCAGGTTTGCAAGGGCCAGTCTACTCTTTTCCTATCCTGACTGGCCCAGAGCCCTAAGCTCTCAGGTCCAGTCTACCACCTCCTCCTGCTGGTCGGAGAGGAAACACCCTCCAGCTCTTCTCACCCCTGCAGCTGTCCTGGGAGGGCTCTGCTGTTTGCAGTTGGGTCTTTCTGATGTCACCACCAAGGGCAGTGGAATGAGCAGGTCCCCTCTGGGAATCTGGGGTGAATCATTAATATTTTCAGGTCACTAATGCCCTCCATGGAGCTACATGAAATGCTGTGTTCCCAGATGGTGAAGGATGACATGATAGTTGAGTTTCCTTCTGTCAGGCCCCTGGGTCTGTTGCTGATACATGACCACTCTGAGTCACTTTTGAGGCTGAAAGTTCCTCAGGGAGCCCCATTAGTTCATAGGTGGTCATAGTTCCATTTGGGTGATTCTTTCAGATGGAAACATTCAGTGTTGTTTTTGCTGTTGTTGTTGTTGTGAGGGTTTCCTGCTGGGTCCCCAGCCCCAGGACCAGGCCTTGGCTTTCTCTTCCTGCCTTTGCCATGAGAATGCAGCCCTCGGAGGAGCTCACGCCTCGTGTTCTTGGTTCCTCCTGCTGGTTCTCACTTACCCTTGACTGAGATGTTGACAATACTCCTGACGTTTGATGAATTTAAACTAATTTTGTCAAATTTTATAAATGTTGTCAACACAAGATTGATAAAAAATAAAATTATTATGAATGGCATTCCACCCATTTTTAGAGGTCATTTCTCCATTGTGGGATTTAGAAACCTCGTTTCATAGTCTCCAGTCTCCATTAGCCCTGATCTAGTTACTGCTGACATTATTTTGTATTGATTTTGGGTGCACAGCAGAGTGTCTAGACAAGCAGATCCTTTACAAAGTGTTTCTCATGATGTTCCCTGTCCCCAAGGGGCCCCGTTCCCACTGAGGCAGCATTTTGACCACACTCCCAATTTTGTGCTCCACATCCCTGTGACCCTCTGTTCTTAGGGTGCCTTGGGGGTGTGGTCCCCACAGGTGTCTACTTCCTCTCTGAACCCTAGGCTGTTCTGCTCCCTCTTGTGGACACATTGCTTTTGGTGCAACAGGGAGCCCAGTGAGTGAGTGAGTGAGGAGCAGGATGCACCACACTGATTTCTTCAAACCAGATGAGGGCATTTCAGGACAGTGCCTCAGGGTCTGGAGGGAGTGTGGCCTCCTGAAGCCATGTGAGCAGCAGAGAGCCCACCCCCTGGAACCCTGCCCTGGGAGGAGGCAGTGGGGGTGACAGGGATGTGGGTGAGGAGGTGTGGAGGCAGATAAGAGGGGCTGGACGCCCTTCCCTGCACAGACACAGAGTCCTGTCTTTGCACTGCTCTCGAGTTTTGCCATTGGTCCTTTTTTCCCTGCCCCCAGAGCCGGGGCTGCCACCAGGGTCCTGACCCACAATGACACTTCCAGTATCTTGCTTGAGTCGAGCCTCAACGCCAAGTCCCCTGCTAGCCTTGTCCAGAGGCTGCTCACACCGCCCCCTCCCCTCTGTAGTGTCAGAAGTAAGTCTGTGCTTTAACTGCGGACAAGCAGCTTGTTCAGGGGTAAGTGTACCCCAAGAATGTCCCTGCACCCCAACACACATGGCCCAGAACTTCAGTACCATAAGTCAATAGCAAGAAGCCAGCTCCTCTCCTGGTGAAAAAGTGACATTTCAGGTAAATCTCTGTGAGTGAGAATAAAGGGCAGCGATGGTCCAGTGAGTTTCAGTGCTGTCCTGAAGGACAGTGTCCCCATGGCAACCTTCAACCATGGTGTGCAGGTGTTGCTAACATATGTGTCACAGGGTGGGATTGAGGTACCAACCCAGCACCCTGTCCCACGTGGTGCTTCCCTTGTTCACTCCCCCCGTCTCCACAGCAACATCAGTCTCCTCTGGGTGATGCCACCGTCCCCACCGGGGCTGCCAGCCTTCACGCTGCACCTCCCCTTTCACTGTTCTAGGAATTGGACTTCTGATAAAGCTGACGTCACCTTCTATCTCTTCCTTCCTTACAAACCTTTAACGGCTTCCTGGTGTCCACCCCTTTCTTGTTCATGTCCCCTCTTGTCACACCCCATAATATGCTTTATTCCTACCACATGTTGACTCTGGCTTCCCTGTATGGTGTCCTGAGGAGGGGACCCTGCCTGTCTGGCCTCTCTGGCCAGTGCTGTACCCTGAGCTGCAGACCTGAGCCTGACACAACGAGCCTGACACAGTACCTGTTCAGGAAAACGTTAAGGATGGACAGACCTCTGTATCTATTGTTTCCCTGGTCTGACCCAGCTGGACTCTGTCCCTGTTCAGACTGGCCCATCCCAGACTCTGTCTCCAGGGCCTTTGATGCAGGCTGACAAGGGTGCCCATCTAGGGCCAAGCTTGGGAGGATGAGGCTGCATTCCTGAGCTAGCCGTCCTGACTTGAGTGCTAGGGCCTAGTTAGGGCTCAAACTAGCACATGTGCTGTCCCCACCATGGGTGTCAGGTGCTACAGTCAGGGTCACAGTGTTGGCTGGTCCCACAAGTTCCAGTCTCACTTCCCTGCAGGCTGCAACTTTGTGGGAGGCTGTGTAGGGCCTCACTGTGACGACCAGCTTTGGGTAGAGCCCAGAGGTGCTCTGCAAGGCTGTGTTGCCAGACACCGTAGCCTGAAAAGCAGGCCAGGTCCTCTGCAGGCTGGTATTTGCTTCTACAGTCCAGAGGTCTGTGGGCATCGCCTGATCCTTGTTTGTTCCAGGACTCAGTCCCAAGACCCACCTTGGTGCAGTTTCCAGGAGAAGAGGTGGTGACAGGTGTAGTCACAGCCTCTGACAGTGTGGGCTCGTGACAGTTGGGAAAGACACAGGGTGAATGAGCCAGATCCTGATGCCGAGTCTCCTGCCACCTGTGTAGTGAGAGAGGTTGGTGAGGGGTCCAGGTCATGGTGGAACCACAAGGCTCAGGGTGAACAGCTTCCATGCTGTGTCATTCCCCTGCCCCCCACCCCAATCCTGGAGATGGAGGGGACTCAGTGCAACTCTGTCCTGCTACCCGTGGTTGTGTTTGTCCACGTAGGACACAGAGCTCAGCCCTTCTTGTTGAGGCCGGCCTGTTTGGAGATGGAGAGGATGTGTGCTCAGTGAGTCCCCTGGGGCCCTAGTGGGGGAACGGCTGCTTGTGAGCACAAAACAGACACAGGGAGATGAGTGTCTGGGTTCCCAGTCCACGCTCAGCCATGAGCCCCTCTTCAGGCTGTTCGCCATGCGGTTTCCTCTCTTTCCACTTGAATCCTCCCCTGCCCGCTCTAGGGCCAAGTGGGGAACATTCATGAGGATAGATTAGCATGCATGTGTGGTTTTCTGGACTGAGTGGAAAATGAGGGGGCACCCGGGAAGTAGAAGAAGAAGGTAGCCAGGGGAGATAAACAAAGAAGGAATGAGCAGGGTCAGGAGACTTCAGAGCTAAGGGATTAGAGAGGGTCAGGGAAGGGAAAGGGAATGTGCCAGCCCCAAGCAGGAAAAGTCTGGAATACTGTCAGCGGCACTCTGAGGAGGGGCCAAGGGAGATGGGGCATGTTGGGAAAGGGGGGGACGGTGAGCTCAGAAGGGAAGCTTCAGTCAGAGATGGAGAAGGTCCTGTCCCTCAGAGAAGACTGGAAGAGCAGCCCACAGCGGAATTGGGCAAGTGTAGAGGGAAGTTGAGGTGCAGAAGAGGTCTTTGAGTTCTTCTGTTTGCTTTTGCTTTGTTCTCAAACAAAGAGGAGCCTCTCCCAGCTCCGCAACTGTCCTCCCAGGGAAGCTCCAGGTTGCAGCTCTGGGAGGTTTTTCTCTAATCCCAAGTCCTTAGTTCTTCTCTCAGAGGTTCCTCTTAGGCTCCTGTCTGCCAGCTGTTCTCCTTTTTATTTTGTACGATCCTCATATTTGCTATTAAGCATATACATATACATACAGAATTTGCCCTTTGGGTGGTTGGGAGCTCTTAGAAATACAGAAATTCCACCCTCACTCCACACTCATGAATCAGAACCCACATTTTACGAGATCCATAGACGGTTCTTACCCACCTTAGAGTTGAGAGACACAGGTCCGGGGCATGCTCAAAGACACTGGCACGATTTTGGACTTGGGTTATGCCGATAAGGGATCTGTTACTCTTCCCTCTGACACGTGCAGCTACTCTCCCTGTCTCCCTCTTTGCGGACTGAAATGCCAGGGACAGCGTCCGGGGGGTTCCCAGTGGCAATGGCAGGCATCTCCCCTGACTTCATAAAGTGCACAGACGAACACGGTGTTGTCTGACTAACAAGATGGATTACGGAGTAATGTCACTTCTTTATTTGACTAAGAAACCTTCGCTTTACTGTAACACTGCATCATAGAGAAATCACAATGATATTAAGCAGGCGTCCGAACATGTGTGCCCTTTTAATCAGTGGGAAGTTATCTGTATAACTCTTATAGGACATGAACAGTATATAACATGCCGAGATGTCAGCACCAGGTTTGATCACAATTTTGGATACATTGAAATAGAAGTGAAAGCGTGCATTGAAGTTCAGAAGTACAGTTATATACCGATAGATTATGGTTATAATATATTGATATTAATAAAGGTTTGGCATAGAGAACTTTTGGGAGGACTTTGGTGATATTCAATAATTTTTCTAAAAATTTTATTTATTTATTTATAGCTAAAGGGAAAGGGAGGCAGAGAGGGAAGCATCAATGTGTAGTTGCCTCTCGTGTGCCCCGTTCTGGTGACCTTCCCTGCAACCCAGACATGTGCCCTGACTGGGAATCGATCCCGTGACCCTTTGGTTTGCAATTCAGCATCTATCTGCTGAGCCACAGAAGCCAGCGCTGATATTCAATCCTTTTGCTTTTATACAACCCATGTGTGTTGTATTATTCACTACTCAGTGACATGCCCTTTAGTGATATATAAAAGGAGCCAGCAAAGTAGACCATGGGAGGTACTCCTTTCTCGGGGGAAGGTGTTTGACCAGAGCCCTTAGGTCTGATCCGGCTCTTCCTATTCCTTCTGGATTATGAAATAATTGGGTGTTGCTTTTCCAGAACAAGTTCCTCCCAAATCATGTGTATTTCCTCCACTTTAGGCCTCAAGTACCCATAGGAATTCATTTCTACCCTTCCCTTCCCTTGTCAATGGATGGCCCACAATAGGCTTCTTGAGAGCTGGTGTGTCTGATCCTGCCATCCCCGTATCATAAGTGCTGAGAAGGTTTCTGTCCTGCTTCCCCCTCTGGGTCTCTCACTGTGCCAAACACCACTGTACACCAGCCAGCAGTAGTACACGGCCTCGTCCTCAGGCTGGGCCCCTGAGAGGGTCAAGGCAGCTTTGCCCCCAAGGAGGGAGCCTGAGAACTGGGCAGGGGTCCAGGAGTGTTTACTGCTTGTATGATAAAGCAGTGTCTTGGGGGCTTGGCCAGACTTCTGCTGGAACCAGTATGGATAGTGACCACTGGTGACAGCTCCAGTGCTGGAAGCACAGGTGAGAGTGACTGTCCCTCCTGGGGACACAGTCAGTGAGGGCTCCTGAGTCACCACAGCCTGAGACCCGGACCCTGAAAGAAAAACAGTCACATGTCAGGAATAAGGAAGGAAAGCAGAGGATCTCCAAAGGCTCATAGCTAATATCCATATGCACCTGGGCAGAGGGTGAGGAGGGGGAGCAGGAGGACCAGAGTCCAGGCCATGGTGGACACTTTCCGAATCCCCTGGCCTGAGTCTGGGGCTGCTCTCTGGCTGTCCCTTTATGTCCTCCTCAGCTCCTTGGGTGAAGGGTGTGTTTGCTGGGCATTATGCAAATAGGAGCCCAGAGCACCATCCAGTTCTGGGTACTGGGCCCCGTTTATAGTTCTACTCTCAGAAGGAGGCTGGCTTTGTTGTGAGCTCTGAGTCTCCCCCTTGAGAGGAAGCACCTTCTGTCTCCTCTCACTGAGGCCATGATTGTGGGCTCAGGTGCCATTGAATTAGAACCATTTGGGTTTGTTTCAGGCCTTGCAGCTCTGAGAAGACCCACAGTGCCCCCTGGTGACATCCTGCACACATGAGTCATGGTGTGGGAGCTGTTCAGTAGGAATTGTATCCCAGTTTTCATTTCAACAATCAATCAATCTGTAAATATACAACAAGCAAATAAAGTAATTGATAAACTTTATGTATCCTTGATTTCTTCATTGGTTTATAAAACTTCGTCTTTGGTATTTTTTAGTTCTGCATTCCCATTTGGCATCTTTATCATGTCTCCTTCTATTTGAGTTTCTGTCCCTTTTTATTTCTTCCAAGAATGTCTGTATTTGCTGGTTACATGGATTTTATTACTATTGCTAAAGAAATATGTCACACAATTTAATTATCTGAGTCATTCTGAGTTGGTTTCAGTAGACTTTCTTGGTTTATTGAAGTTTTCATTTTCCTGGTTCTAGATGTGACCAGTGTTTTTTCTTACTGGGTCCAGGACATTGGGAGACTGCATTAGGGACCCCTGTGTCCCACTTCCTCTGTCTTCCATCAGGCCGCCTGCCTGCTGAGCTGCAGCACAGAGGTCATGGGGTGGATGTTCAGCTCCCACTGGCCCAGCAAAGGTGGAGCACTGACTCCCCTGCTTTGACAACTTCCTCAAGAAAATAGGGCAGTGACTGTCACCAGTTGGTTCCCTTCAAGTTAGGGTGAGTGTTGAGCCCACAGCCAGGCTCTGTGGACTCAGGGTGGGAAGCACAGGGAAGAAGGGAGCTGCTGTGCTCAGTGGGTTGGGCTCCCAACTCCCCACTGGGTCCCTCCAGGGCAGTACTGACACAAGAGGGTTGGGGGCCCCTGCATGGCCCACTCGTCTGCCTCCCATTCCTTACTCAGAGCTCTGAATGCCACTGGGTGGTCAAGGCTTAGCTCCTCACTGCTTCCCATAGTTACAAGCAAGGGGAGCAGGAATGCAGACTAACTCTGGTCTGTACCCCGTATCGATTCTTATTGCTGAGGGGTGAGGTTGAAGTTCAGGACCCCACTGTGTAGCCAGAGTCATGGATGGGAGAACTGGAGTGCTAACCCGCTTCAACTGGCCCTACTTGTTAAGGCTTGTTGACTCTCTAATGGGAGGGAGTCAGCCTTCCACTGAATCACCCACACTGTCCCAGGTGGCAAAGGGACACTGCCAACTTGTGTTAGCAGGAGTGGAGACCAACACCCTGTCCCTTATGGCTGACACCCTTCGATGGGGGTGCAGGTCGGGAGTTCTATAGTGTGGGAAGTCAGTACATGGGTGTCATCCCAAAGATTTTCTCTGGATAGGCATCTAGTTCCCATGTTCTTCAGCTAGAGAGAAAGGGTCTTCTAGGAGCCTATATCTATTTAGGATTATCTATCTATCCACCATTTTGTTTGTATCTTAGTTGTTTGAGACCTTGAGGTCTCTGTATCTATCTGCTCTGTCTACAGGGAGGTAATGAGGACCCAAGGACTCCAAACCAGTCTGTTCCCCAGTTGGGGAATGGAGGAAGTCTGCCTTGTTGTTTTCACTTTGGAAGTCTACTTCTGCTTTGATTGACTCGGTCCAGTGTATGTAAGATTTCCTTGGCCCCACAGACCAGAGAAGGAGACTGGCCACGTCATTCCATCAGGAGCTCATTAAGAGAAGTCACACTCAAGGTGCGTTTCAGGCAGTGAAAAGACCACATAGATTTGCTCTGTGCCTTCCACAGCCACCCCCAGACTTTGTGCTGTGTCTCTGAACCAGTGAGCTTACTTGCTGGTAAAGGAATGTGTCTTTAATCTAAGGATGGAGCACCTCGGGCTCTGTCCCCAGAGCTGGTATAGAGACAGATAAAGACAAGGGAGGAGCACAAAGTCGTTGTGTTTACTGGAGGAGTGTCGGGGGAGGGACAGCAAACGTCAAAATTGGCTTCCAGATGGAGTTGCTTTGGCTGCACAGCCAGGAGTTTATACTTGAAGAGACTGTGGGAACAATGGGGCTCTTTACAGGGACTCAATCCCAAAATTCTCGTGGAATAGAATCCTAATGGTTTATTTCTGCCTTTGGATGAATGAGAGGCCATACTTTTCTGGTTCTGCAGAGATTTTGTTTATATAAATAAGTGGCTAGTAAACATGATGAATATTTTCATATTTTTTCCTTAGCATAGATGAACATGAACATAGAACACCTGGTCGTGGTTTGCATGTGAAAGGCTGACTGTCTGCTCAGGAGCCTCACCTTGCACCAGGGGTTGGCCTTGGACTTTACCCTCCCAGGAGAAATGGGAGTATATTTTCATTCCCATGAGAGTTATTTAAAACTTTTAATTTTGTAATAATTTTGCGCTTAAAGACAAAATGTCAGTAAAAAAACCCCACTTTTCCATAACTATCACTTATATTTTCTCTAACACTACAGTCTTAAAAACTAGTGCCATTTTTACAAACTGAGATGATACCATTGGTAAGACAACATTAACTAAACTGCAGGTTGGATTTAAATTTCATAAAATACCCAATAGATTCTTTTTAGATTCTTAGAACCAGTTTAGGATTCCATAATGCCATAAATGCTACAGAAAACAATCACAGATAAATGTATATATTTCCAACATGCCAGATATTAAGCTTTTTTCTTTAAAATTGATTTTGTGTTGAGTTGAAATAAAGTTTATTCTAAGATTTTTTAACAAAGGTGAGTACACTAAATAAAAGGACAATGTGACACTCTGCTTCTCCCCTCACGGCCCAGTGCCGGGCGCCCTGGGGAACCGGGAGTGGAGACACTGCCTGCAGCCCCTCCCCTGTCCCTGCACCAGGGGAGGTGGACCAGGGCTGGGAGGAGTGTTTCTGGAAGCCACATCTAAACAGGTGGCCTCTCTGAGCATCAGTATTCACATAAGCCATGGAAGTCTTCTCAACTTGTGGTTGTAGTTTTCAATTTAGAAACCAGAGAAAAGAGAAATCAGCTCACAGTTTTCATCGATGACCTGATATTTTAAACCAGTTTCTGAAGGTTCCACATTTATGAAGGTTGATTTAGGAGAGAAAGTGACCAAGAATTTAACTGGATTACATTTTGCACAAAAGTGTTCAAGAATAATTTTATAATAAAAGTACAGGTATATTTAAAACTTTAGTGTTTCTAAAATACTTTAGGAGAGAGCTTGTTAAAACACTGTTTTGCTCACAAACACACAGTTCTGACTCAGCACGTAGTCAGGGGACCAGCATCACCAGAAGCTCCCAGTGACACTGTCATTTAAATGCCAAAAAAATATTGCCATTGTCCACAGGCTCAATCACAACATGAGTACATCTTGTTCAAGCTCCTGGAACACAGGCAGGATTACAAGGGTCAGTGAGGGCTCTGAGTCTCTCTGATAGTTAATGTGTCTGCACTGAGCCCTCACCCTGTCATGGTTCTAGGGACAGGGGACGAGAGGAAGCCCATTATGCCAGGGTCACATGGGACACAGGGGCACACCCTGGGGGAGCCTGGAGGAGGCACGTGCACAGGAGCCACTGGACGTGGGAATGAGGCCCTGGTACCTGTCTCCTTGGTGTGCTGATCATTTCCACCCTCTCTCTTTCCTTCTGTTACTAAAGCTGAGCCATTCTGAGCACTAGAAGGTGTTTAGGTTGCACTTCCCCATGAGGTTACTTCACTGTGTAAGTATAACTACCCATGGCCAGACCACAGTAATAGTCTGCCTTGTCCTCAGGCTGGGCCCCGGTGATGGTGAGGGTGGCTTTGTTCCCAGAGATGGATCCAAAGAAGCGCTCAGGTACCCCAGAAGGTTGTTTCTTTGTTTCATAGATGAGCATGAGAGGAGCCTTACCTGGGCTCTGCTGGTACCAGCCGGGGTAGTGACTACTAGAGACTGACCCAGAGCTAAGGCCATAGGTGAGTGTGACTGTTCCTCCTGGACAAACAGACAGTAATGACTCCTGGGTGACCACAGTCTGAGAATCCACACCTAAAACCAACAGGAAAGACATGGGTGTTGTTATAAAAGACAAGATCACCTGAGACCCTGCTTTGCTGTGGCCCCCAAGAATACAGAGTTTCTTCCTTTGACCTGAGCTGTAAGTGAGGAGCCCAAGCAGGAGCACCATCCAGGCCACGGTGGGGACACTCACAGGACACCACCTACTCAGGCACTTGGGGTGGAAGGAGGTGTCCTTGGGGCCTTTTCTTGCCTCCCAGACCCACTAGGAGGAGGAGCTGCGTCATGCAAATCAGCTTCCTCTCTTGGTACCACAGTGTTATCCTGATGTCCCCTGGGGTGATGTGGAAAGAGCAGATGCTGAGACCTCACACAGACCAGTGAAGATAGAGCTACTCAGGCACTGAAGGAACAGAGTCTCCCTCTGTCTCCAAATCAGGGAGTGAGGAGGGTGAGGAACAGAGGGACCTAGGCCATGATTGGGAAGCTCCAGCCCTCTGCCTGCTCAGGCCTGGTTTTATCAACTGAGACTCTCTCATCTCCAAGGGTCTTTTGTCTTGTGTCCAGCAAGACTCACGGGCCAAGTTTCCTCATGTAGATTTGCTTTTGTTGTGTGTCTGTCCCCCTGAAACTGTCTGTCTGCACACCTGGTAGAATCAACTCCTGAAGGGGAAGATGAATGTGAAGCAAGGGTGTGAGTCAGACCTCAGGGCTCATGTAGCTCCTGGGAACCCTAGTGATGGCATGTGACACACAATTAGGGCACTGCTTGCCCAAACAGACAACCTTCAGAAAAGTAGTTTCCTAGTTCTCCTGTCCAGGACACCCAGTCCTCCCAGGACCAAGCAACAGCGCCCCTCTAGTCCAGCTCTCATGCCCCAGGCCTCCTGATCCTCCCAGCTCTCGTGCAAGGGTTGGCGGGGATGACTTTTGCAGTTGGATGTTATCTGCTGTCACTGACTAAGGCAGTACATTGAGTAGGTCCCTGCAGTGTGGATTGGGTACCAGACACTGATTTTCCACATCTCTAATAACATCCGAAGAGTTAAATACAGGACCTGGAGCACAGAGCTTGTTACTAGATATTTCAGGGCCACCTGGGAACACCTGTGCACTGCTCATTCTTACAGGTTAACTTATGCCACTGCTGTTGCTGGTGGGAGGGTCTCCTGTCCGTACCCACCCCCCATTGCACAGGCTGGGACTTTGATCCCCTGTGTGAGGACGAGAGGCATCGTTGTCTGGGATCCTTTGTTCTGCTCTTCCTTACTGCTATGGGTCCCCATTGGCATCCTGTGTCAGCCTGGTGATGCCTTATTTTCTTGTGACTGTCCAATATATTTCTGACATTAGAGTCTAGATAATTGTTTCCTCAGAGAAAGGTTAATAAAAACAGAGAATCAACTTTCTGTCAGGTGATAGGTTTGAGTTTACAAGATCCATGCCTAAATGACTGACATTTATCCCACATCCTCCACCCAAACTACTGGACAGGGAAACACATTGGAAGTCCTGAGGCTGAGCTGGGACAGTGAGCACTCAATGGTCTGAGAGCCTCTCCTCCATGGGAGGCTTTGCCCAGCCCCGGGAATGCAGGGGCCTCGCAGAGCTCTGATCTCAGGTAACAGGGAGACCCAGATTCTGTAAGGTCTCAGAACTCAGGGAGCTATCAGGGGAGCCCAAGGCTGGCACCAGGGGACACACAGGGCCTTGGGCACGGGCCACCTGGTTCCGTCAGTCACACATGATGCACTTCTGTCCTCTTCTGCACCCAACCTCCGAGTCACAATTTTGCTTTTTCTAAGAACAAAATTATGTTTGTGTTGAAGACCAGTGACCCCAAAGCAGATATTTCTATTTACTTTCTAAGGAGAAACTGAGTTGAGGGCCAGCCCCCCAGCTTTAGTAGCACAAGGGAGAGCACAAGCCCATAACTGAGCTGGTGTTGGTTCAGGGGCAGGGACAGGGCAGTGATGGGTCAGACAGGAGAGGAGGCGGCAGATTTGATCACTTGTCCCCATGTAGCAGGAGCTCTCTGGGGCATTGGGGTTGTCTCCATCTGTCTAATGATGAGGTTCAGCCTGAGCCCCAGACTGGAGCCCAGAGGTGATCACACAGGTTCTGGTGACAGACCTGGATCAGGACCATCAAGCTGAATCCCTGGAAGGCCCCTCTATGCTGTGACAGGTAGGAAAGTTGGGGCACTGCCTGGACACTTAGGGACAAGTGTCATGGCTACTCCAGTGTCTCTGGAAATCCCTGTGCAAGAGAAGGTGACTTTGGATCTGAGCTCATTGAGAGCTTCACAGGGGGTGTGACACAGGAACAGATTGGGGAGCACCCGCTCCTGCTGTCCCACCAACCAGCCCCCACCCTGGCCTGTTGGAGAGCTGCAGGAGGGTGTGGGAGGGCCAGGGGCACAGTCAGTGCCCATAGACTCAGGGATCCTCTCCCAGGAGTCCCCATGGTCCTGAGCTGTGTCAGCTTTCTGGGTGTCTCTTCCCTGGACCACTTTACCCTGGAGCAGGCTCGGCAATTCCCCAGGAAATGTAGACCATCCTCCATCCCCTCCCGTCCCATTAAGACGTCTCCTGGTCTCAGGCCCCAAACTTCCCCTTACATCAACCCTCCTGTCCCTGACCTCACACCTGAAGGTCCAAGTACCCAGCCAGGGGTCTCGTCTACTGTGTGACTGGAATTCCTAGCACACCTGTATCCTCACCCAGCACCTCCAGCCCAGTACTCTGTTCCTCAGGTTTAGCGTGCTCAGGCAGCCTTGAACTGAGGGACTGGGAGGGAGGGACAGGCTCTGCTTTGACCCCCTGATTGGGTCTCCTGACATCAAGCCAACTCCATATGCCTCTCCTCCGTCAGATGCAGGTAGGTCACGTGGACATGGAGCAGTGTTTTCCCAGGGCTCTAACATATTTTGTGATTTTCTTACAGTTTCTACTTCTTTGCTCTGATTTCCTACCTGTCCTTTCATTGCAAGTGTATGTCACTCAAATTCTCACTGAGAATGTATAAATATGTATGGGGATGATTGGTATTCAGTGTCTGACCATAAAGTAGATGTGTGTTCAGTTCTTTAGGTCTTCTTTATGTATAACAGGAATGAATTGTATCTCTCATTTCTACAAAACTTTCAGGTTTTTTAGTTTTAATTTTAAGTATTTCTTCTTTTTGATGCCATTATGATATTTAAAAATGTTCTTGTTAATTTACAAGTTTTCTTGTTAATTATTGATGGATTAGTCCTGTGTACATTGGTATTCAGTTGTGCATGTTGTTTTTGTATCTCAAAGCCCCGATTAAAGCATTTAGGGAGGAAACATCACTGAGTCTCCCCTGGTCTCAGAGACAGTCACGGCCGGTACCAGCCAGTGTCCGCACCTCCAGCATCTCCCCTGGGAGACGGTTCTCCTGGAAAGGACTCTCTGCTTCTGAGACAGGAACAGCTGAGACATGGTGGTGATGGTGAGTCTAAATGAGAGATGAGGGGAAGGTCAGATTGCTGTTTAGAGGAAACTCAAGTCTTATTTGCAGAAGTGACAACAGATGTCACCTGTGAGGGCAACTTGATCCCAGCAGAGCAGGGGTGAGGTTCCCTGGCAGGGGGAGCACAGGTACCTTTAGTCTCACCAACCTGTGACTCTCAGTGGGGTGTGAGCATCAGGGCTGCTGTAATGGACTCAACAGCAAGGCCAACCTCATCCTCAGGCTGCAGCCTGGAGATGAACAGGTGCCATGCACTGGCCGAGGTTTCTTTGGATCCAGAGAAACACCTGCAGAGGCAGGAGCCCTGGTGCTTTTCTGAATCTGGGTGCTTGGAACGAGCTGCTGGGAAGGGCTCTGTGACTGCTGCTGGTACCAGTCTGTGGTAGCCGCCAACATTAAATCCACTTCCAGGGTGAATGGGAATCTCACTGATGTTCCCTGGGATGCAGAGAGGAAGGGGCTGAGTGAGAACAGGCTGGGAGAGGGAACCTAATAGCAGGCACATTCGTGGCTGGTAGAGCAGGTAATCAGGTTAAAGTTCCTCAAGGCTCTGTTCAAGTGGAGGAAGATCCAAGCTAAATGGCTGTCCTGGTCCCTGAGGCCTGTCCCTACCTGTGCAGTAAGAGAGGAGCACCAGGAGAAGAGGAGCCCAGGCCATGGTGCACACAGCCCCTGAGCCCACAGTGGGGCTGGGCTGCCCAGGCCTCCTTTTCTCCCCACCCTCTGCACCGGCTGTCCATGCAAACATGAGTCCATCCAAGGGCTTCCCAGCCCATCCCTGAGCCGTGGTGCTGTAGCTCAGTTTAGGCTACAAGTGAAGAGGATGGGGGTTGGCTTTTCCCTAGGGAGAGCCTTGGGGGGAAGCACCTGCTGAGGCCACACAAAGATCCCAGCTCAGGGGACTCTGCAAGGCCTGAGAGGACACAGTGACTGTATCTGCACCAGTGAGTCTCCATCAGTGAGCACAGTGCCCAGCGCCATGGCCCAGATTCCTTTGAGAGAATGATCCTCACTGAGCAACTATTTAGATGCTCCAGGGCAGTCCACCAGTGCCCCCTGCTGATCATGGCCCAAAGCCCTGAGAGCTCAGCTAGTTTCTGCAGCTCACCAGGTGGCTGTCTCTATCCACACATCCAGGGTCTCATGTGTAGATAGTGTTGATCAATCATGTGGTGCATGATTACCCTACTTCTTTTCACTGCCAGAAAGAGTTTTGGTCTATGGGAAGTGAAAACATGCACATAAAACTATTTCAGATGTCAGCATCTCCAGAATACACAGTAGGAAAAGTTAACCCCTGTGTTCCATGAAGTCCAGTGTTCAGGAACAATTTTATAATTATAGAAGTGGACGGATATTTCAGTTTAGCACTCCTGAAACACTTCACAGGGACCTTGCGAAAACCCAGACTTTTCTCACAAACACAGAAATCTTACTCAGCTGGCCTAGTTTGGGAAACAGCATCACCTGCAAGTTCCCAGTGACACTCTCATTTAAATGCTAATAAAACATTCACACAGTCCACAGGCTGAAGTCAATAGATGACAGTATAATTTCTTAAAGCTCCTGGGATACAGACAGGCGTTAGTTAGGTTGCATTAGCTCAGGAAACCAGGTGGACCCAGTGAGCTAAGGAGCAGGGTCTATCAGCAGGGAATGGGAGGGCAAGTGGAGCCAACCGAGGGAGGTTGGAACTCACTCCATCATTCTTAGGA